TGTAAAGGAGAGAAAGTCATAGTTTTTAAGTGTACGAAACATATTGTAGAACTGATTCAGTTTGGTTCAATTTTGCTGTGTTTGAATTTTAGCATTGTTATCTCATCAGGCTCCATGTAAGAATCTTCAGTTTCTAGGATGTTGAGAAGAGCTCTTTTTGTTTCCTCTTTTGAAGGATTTCTTTGACAAGTTTTTGTATTCATTAGGTATCTCATTCCAGACTTTGACACCAACACGCAAAAAGGCCTTTCTCGCATTTTAGGCCCAGTGCTTAACGCTAAAGAGCTGTGACATTGAGCGAGTAGTATATGTATCGATGTTTGAAGTTCTGGTAAAAATTTTCATGATGTTAGAAGGTGCACTGTCATCATGAACATCGAGCATTAATTTACATACAGCTTCATAATATCAGAAGGTAACAGGCAGAAATTTTACATTCACAAATAAGGGGATTGCGTAATACTCGCTTTTAGAGAACAATTTTCTTTAAATAGGTTTTAGACGCATTACCTCAAGTAATGAGTCCATTTGTTAAATAAGGTAAAATTAAGGATTTATAAATATTTATGAGTACAGAGAATGGCACAAAGTGTCTCAGCTTAGCAATCATTCCTATGGTGTTACTTATTTTAGTGATGACACAGTCTAAATGGTTTTTCCAAGAAAGATTTTCATCGATTAAAACACCTAACTACTTGATGTAAATCTTATGTTCCAAACTGACTCTTCAATTTTTTCACTATTAAATATACTTAATTGTGGAGGATAACGGATTTTCTTTTGTCTAGGGTGAAAAATTACAAGATTTGATTTTTTTGTATTCAAAGTCAATTTATTTGTAGTTAGCCAGTCATGTAAATTGTTCAGTTCAGCATTGACCATTGACTAGAGGTCTTTTTTGGCATAAATAATATTAGTGTCATCCGCAAATAAGAAAAATTGAAGTTTCTTGGAACGTAGCTAAATGTCATTCATCTAAAGTAAAATGAGAAGTGGTCCTAAAACCGAACCCTGAGGAACACCTCAAGGAGAAATTAATTTAGTTGATACGTGATATGCGTGAGTAATTTGCGTTTGATTTGTCAAGTACGACCGGAACGACTCGTTGATAATCCCTCGAAAACCATAAAAATTAAGTTTATCAGGTAGTATTTTGTGATCGAGTGTCAAAAGCCTTTTTTAGATCAATAAAAACGCCACATGACAAAACGCCTATCCATATCGTTCCGTGAAGTTTCGACTCTATCATGGATCTCACGATCTGGGGTGTGTGCCGTAAGGAAGTCATACTGTGAGGCATGCATTAACTTACTTTTGTCAATAAAGTCCTTCCTTCTTACACAGTAGCTTTTCAAATATCCTATTTAAATTTGACGAGAGAAATTGGTCGGTAATTAGAAGCATCAGTCTCGTCTTCACTCTTAACAATTGGAGATCTTAAGTTTCAAAGGGTGGACACCAGACGTAATAGAAGCTTTCGTACTGGAGAAAAAGTATAATAAAAGTCTCAAAATTGTTTTTGTTTTCTGGAATACAATTCCAACGGGTGACATCTCTCTTTAACTAAGTGCAAAGAAACAAGAGAAGGAGAAGAAAGGTAAGTATGTCTAGTGTTTAGGAGGAACAGATCACCATCAGAGACAACTTTTAACTTTCGAAAAAAAAACATCTTTAATCTTAACAGCATGATCCTTTTAAAGATACAAGACAACTTTACAAATGTATTACATAAGTTGGAATAATGTTGTGTACCTTGTGTATTTTAATGAAATAACTCAAGAGCAAGGGCAACACATCCTTTTTTTTTTCGCTAAGACTAATTTAAACAATTTCTCCTTAGACCAAATGGCTTTGGGTCATTTTTCTTTCTGTATGCCTCTGCAAGAGGTGGGTCTGACTCAGATATGTATGGCTGAAATGATTAACTATAGAATGGAGGCGAATCAGGCCGAAAGATGGATTCTTCTGTTGGGGATACTAAGTTCAAGCAACAGGTGGAAAACAGTGTAACTGCTAAGACAACACAAACAATGATCCCCTTTCATTTTCCTGTTGACCCATATCCAGCTGTGCCACGGGCTGTGTTATCAAGTTCCTGTTAAAACAAAGCAACAGAAATGAAAACAAAACAGAAACAAGTCACAAAAGGAAAGTAAATAAAATAAATGCAACTCATGGTGATGTAAGAAAAGGTGATGTTGCTTGATGTTTGAGAAACTGTTTGTTGTTCACCTTATTTTTGGATAGCACTTGATAGTTTTCAAGTTTTGTGGATTAAAAGATCAAAGTATTTTTTAAAATTAATTTGTAAACTAAAAGATCAAAGCATTTTTTAAAAATTACCTTGACCTCCACAAGGGGTGGGTTGCTTATTCTCTCAATAATAAGCTGAGCAATACGATCACCTTGCTGAACTTCATAATCCATCTGTGATAAATTGAATAGTACAACACCAACATTTCCACGATAATCACGATCTACAACGCCTGCTCCAACATCAATGTGATGCTTCCAGGAAAGGCTGGATCTAAAAATCAACGAATGCTTTGTTCAAGACATTGTAGGATGTGCAGTCTGATCAAACTCTTTGCCAAACAAACCAAAATATTTTCCATCTGCTTCAAGCAATTTCTACATTCATTGAATTAAAATATCAGAAACAATCATAATGAATTATGGATCCATGGAATCTACAATCCAGTATGGAATTCCAGGTTAAATCACCAATCAACTTATCTTAAAAACAACATTAGGATATTTGACCTGCATGTTTCTTTCTAGACAGATTTTAGCAAAGCAATGGTGAAATCACAAAAGATTTGAGCGAGTTTCAATGTCTTTGCAAATGTTCCTCTCACCTTAACTTTTCACAAGTAAAAAAAGTGGTTAAAAACTTTTACATGTCTCTATGGGAAACCATGGTAACACTGCAGTAAAATAGTACAATTTTGAAAAGTTTGAAGAGCCATGTTAAGACTGAAGTAGAAAGGTTTTAACCTTTGAGTCTTCATATTTCAGGAATCAGACTTGAATCCTAGAGTTATTGCCAAAAATCTAATTGTTGTAGTGTGATTGCAAAATATGCATTTTGAACAGGTTCCAGATTGACTTTTGTCTGCTTGTGTTTGTGACACAGTAGTGTCAAATAAATGGAGGATATTAACCTATTTTAATTTGTGACATGCACAGACATAACTCAGTTCTGTAAACAAAAACACCACTAATTAAGAAAAGGTTACAATTTGCCACACAGACACTGAACACAGGTTGACACATTTGTAACTTACTGTTCACATGGTTACAGATGAGGGGCAACTTAAGACACTCCAAATTATTAATCTGAAGAAAGTGTCAACTGACAATTCCTTATAGTTGCTATTGATCATTAATTTTTTGGACTCTTCCACAGAAATTATAAGCCAGAGAAAACTAATCCAAGCGGCCTGATCTTGTTTTACTATAAATTTATGTAACTTTAAAAGACAAAAAAAAAACATTGAATGCCAGAGCTTCTATGGTGTCAGATATAAATGAGAAAAAAAAATTATCTCTGTCCAATTTTAAAGATGAGCTTCATTTCCCCTCAATTTCAACTCATTAATGGCACTATTCGGAAAATAATCTTAACAGCTAATTTTGACTAGCTTTACAAAATAGACAAACAATAGAAGCTCTACATCAGCCTCACTTATCTTCATCAAACTTATAGAAAGGATACCTGAGCTCAAGAATAAATTATAGCGGGATATTTCGCGCCAAAGCGAAACACTACTTTCTTTCAATACTACAGTCTGGGAAATTTGCAGATCTATAAGTGTAAATAATGAAGTAGATTCGTAGCCAGGGGCACTGTGCTCAAATTATCTCGGATTTACGAGCTGGAAATTCTGGAAAATGTGCACAATAGCTCATTCTCTTATTACGTGAGACATTCTATTACATTCTATCAAAATTACAACAAACTGGGAAATTCGCTAATCTAGCAGCGAGAATAATGAAACTGGTTCTTAACAAGGACACACAGCCTTTATGAACTACAAAACTTGAAGAAGCTCCAATTGAGCTTCATTTTTCTTAATCAAGGTTATTGTACCAAACTGAAATTGAAAGCGACTGCGACTATGAGTCCCGTAAAATAATAGTGGGAATTTTCCCGCCAAAGTGAAACATTACGTATATTCTATCAAAATTACAACAAACTGGGAAATTCGCTAATCTAGCAGCGAGAATAATGAAACTAGTTCTTAACAAGGACATACAGCCTAATTTCTCGGATGTACTAACTGGAAATTCTGCAGAAATGTGTACAATATTTCATTCCCCAGTAACACGAGGTTTCTCGAGGCTAATTTTCCGATTTTGGCGCGTAGAAATCGCAATTTTCTTCCTTACCTCGGAGCAACTCGTCCATAACATCCTTCAGGTAGTGCTATGGCGATGTCAGTTTTTACCAAAGCCTTCCCTTGCTTAGGAATTACTACATTTTCCGCACTGTACAAGTCGTATCCCGCCGCCAAGTCTGACCCTCGGCTCGGAGTTGTAGCCCGATCGCTTATTTTTTTTAATAACAATACATTGTCATTAAAACTAGGGCGTGGATAACCTAGCGCTGTAAGGGCCGTAGACACGAACTGACCCATTTTGAGACTGTTGAACAAGCAAACTCTACCCGTTTTCGAGGAAAATAGTTCCGTACGGCTGTAATCAGTCAGTTAGCAGCGATGGACTCTTCACTGGTACGTAATTTCTGAACTTGCGCTATAAAATCGAAACTTAATCACAATCATCTTGATTGGCTGTCTGCAAAGGCAATTAGCCAATGAAATGTTAGTTCCATCTCCCACGAGGATAAATAACTTACTTTGAGGGAGGGGGTAGGGAAATTCACCAGTCTACATATTTTCACCTGCCTTCGTTTCACCTTCGGGGGGAGGGTACGGCTGCACGTGGGCTACCGGCTAAACTTCAAGCCTGGAACGTTTCGTCGACCTCGTGTAGCAGAATGGCTGACCTAGTTCAATTCATATGTACAAATTCCGATCATTACCAAATCTTGCCCGTTTTGAAACAGTTCATAGAACGGAAAGATATTATACTCGATACAAATTTCTTAGAAACGCTAAAACTGGTGCTAGATACCCTTGAAAAATCCAAAGATTTTGGTGAAGATTTAGCCACTAAGGTCTTGTTTGAGATTTGTTGGCCGATCGTGTACAAATCTAATGACAGCAATCAGCCTTCTGTGCACAGGCGAAAAAGGCTTCATCTTTGTTACGATATTATAGCCTTCTGCTGTTCAGTGTTTCCGGAAACTTTGCTTCCAGTGGTAAGCGAAAAGTGCCTTCAGATTTTAAAGCGCTACGTCGTGGAATTGGGTTCAACAGAGGAGAACGCAGTTGATGTCTCAGTAACACTAGATCTTATTGGAAATCTTGTGAAGCCAGCTGCCTTAAGCCCTTCGGAAAGTACTCATATAATTTCTGGAGAACTGGGAAATACGCTCTTTCAGGAGTTATTAAATATTTTACCTTTTACAACTGAAAGCTTATGCGGGAAAGTAACCAGCCTTGTTCTTCCAAATTTCTTGGAATTTGATAGAGAAACACGTTGCGAGGTGAGTCACAGGTCACCGTTAGGATGTTAACATTATAAGTTTCGTGAATGAAAGTGATCCTCGCAGTAATGTGCACTACTTGAGCAGCAGTGAAAATAAGGCCTGAAAAAAATTCAGGCCTCTACAGGATTTGAACCTATGACCTCTGCAATACCGGTACAGCGCTCTACCAACTGAGCTAACAAGCCAACTGGGAGCTGGTCATTATGTTGGTTCCAAATAAACCCGTGAAGTGATGAATGAACGGCTTAGAATATATATTTGTTAGCTCAGTTGGTAGAGCGTTGCACTGGTATTGCAGAGGTCATGAGTTCAAATCCTGTACAGAATCAAATATTAAGCACATGGCAAACTTGAAAACTTCTAGATTTTTAACTAAATTCTCAGTCAGTGCCATAGGAAATGTAGAAAGAGCAGTATGGAGAATAAACATACTGATCTTAGGGTGTAAGGGGTTTAGAGGTATTCTAAGACATTATTTCTTTTTCTGTGCATGCTTATATGGCAACCATCTTTGATAATGTTAGAGATAAATTTTCATGTCAAATTTGTCCATTATTATGCTTTTCAAGAGCCTGATCAGCTGTAAGAATCAAATCATTAGTACTGATTGAGAAGTTAGAGTTGATTGTTACACCAGAACTTTAAGCCTTTCTAGTGAGCAGCATTCATAAGTTTCATGTGTTATCATGGTGTTGTTGCTGAATATTAACAGGCTGTGTGGAGTACAGTGAAACAGATATTTGAATCCCAAGCAGCTGGTTCTATTCCTGGAACATTCAATCAAACCTATGCCATTCTTTGTGGTCTTGCTGATTTCTTCTACACTTGTGGCAATGAAAGTCTCTTTCACAAAGCAGAGTTTTGGGAAATCATTCAGAAAGGATTGGTGTTAGAGGAACCTCTTTCTAGGAAAAGAGCCATGTATCTGTTGAAGAGAACATTGGACTTGCTAGATAAACAACCATGTGATTTACTGGTGCAGAATGACAAAGGATTGCAGATATTTTGCTGGTCATGCAATAAGAAGGACTCACGCATGAGAGTATGGCAGGATTATGTTCTTTTAATGGAGACACTGGAGGAAAAGCAGGTATAATAAAAAAATTCACAACAGGTATTCAGTCATCCTTAAGCAAAAATAAAGTGGTGTGTGTAAAACTTTTTTTTTTCCTGTTACCAAATGTGTGTATTCTCTGACTTCAGAAAAGTATTCTCTTTCTTAACTCTCAAGATCTGATTTACAATTCTTCTTTCTAGATGCAAAACCATTCCTTCTAACCCTTTAACTCTGAGAGGTGATCAACATGTAATTTCTCCTTATAATATCTATACATCATCCAGCAAACAGGTAATGAGAATAGTCAAACTATCAAGTTGTTCTCTTGATCTAACACCAAATTCTTATAACTTACTCACAAGGAAATGTCTCGCAACCAGATGAGAGAATGAACAATCAGATGTTGGGAGTTATAGGGTTAAATACGTCAAGAGAATTTGATATGACATTTACACCAAAATAACATCTCCATTTGTCAAGTTTGTCTAAGCTCATCACATGTTTGAACAGTGTATTAAAATGTAAGGAGAAGTGAAATGTTGATAATGTGGGAGAATCACATTTGATATACCAGAAAGGAAATTAATCTATCCAAAAGAATCCCAATTTCATGACTGTGAACAGTTTTTCACTCTGTAACTGTTAAATCCTTTTCTGGGCTTTGTGGAGCATCAATAATGACCATTGTGTGTAGAACCATTATGAACAGGTAGCTAAATAAAAATCGGCATGTCTACAGATGTACAAGACTGATGTGTGATATTATTGGCAGAAGAATTTGCATCTCAAATTATGATACCCACAAACTTTCTTTCAGGGGCATCTTATCAAACCAGTGCTTCCTCGGATCTCAAGTATCATATGTGCCACAAAGAAAGACAACAATGGTAAGATACTGATTGCTAAAGAATATGTTAACTTTGTGATAAGTTTTAAGGAACATTTGTACTTTGTCAGTGGGCAAATGTCACACTGTGGTTGATATTTATATATAAATTAGTAATTTGATACAAACAGTTTGAATTGCTTACATTTTGAATATTTTGACAGTCTGCATGAATTGAATTGAAATGATGATCAACCTGGCACTGCTTAAGTTGTGTATCTCATGATTTAGTGGGAGTGCAATTTTATCAGAATAAATAAACAATAGCCTCTATTTGGCACAAAATATGCATAAATATTTGTCCCTTGGTATAATCTGTTCCAAGATCTGAAAAGTTTTCTGAGAGTGAAGTTCAAGGAAAACTGTGAGCTTCGAGGAACAGATGATGCCCAAGGACAAATATGCTAACATATTTTTGTGAAAAATAGAGGCTATTGTGTTTATTAGCCTTCAAATATTTCACAACACATGTGAAAAAATGTTTATAAACAGCTTACTATTTGCTGCATGAGATATTTTATTTTCAGTTTTCTTTGCAAAGAATTTATGGACAAACAAATATTTCCTTTCTTCAGTAACAACCTTACAACACTTTCTCTCATCTTGAATTAAATATTAAACAAACACTTATCATAGTGGACATAAGATTCAAATTGAGAAATATCATCTGGGGGATATCCGAGGATATCCCCAGTTTTAGTCAGGAATGTTTGCTCACATGATGCATTTAGGCTAATTGTGTACAATCAAAAATATTTGATGGATCATAACCACAGATAGCAGAAAAGGTGTGTTCTTTTATTGTGTCAAACCCATAGGCTCATTATAAAAGAGAGGGTGTTTAAAATTGGGAAATGGCCCAGATAGATTTTCACACCCATGAGAACCAGTCTGTATTGCTTAAAAGCATGTTTTCATGTTTTCCACTGTTATTAACCCTTTAACTCCCAGATTACATTTGTAATTCTCCTCTCTGTCAGCCATGCAATTCTTATAATGTTAGTTCAGAGAATTTAGCATTGGATCAACTAATTATCCCCAAATTGATATTTTTCTTTACAGTCTCATCACTTATCTGGTTGATATTGTATTGATAATGTAAGGAGAAATTCTATCTTGATCACTCATGAAAGTTAAAAGGTTTAATTTTTGATTGCCTGTTTTTGTTTTTTTGTGTGTGCAGGTGATGTAATGCTGGACATTTCCTGGCTTCTGACACTGTATCAAAGAGCAGCTCAACATGACACCAAGTCCATCTGCCGATGGGCCATTCTCGACCTGCTCAGCATGGACCTGTGTGATTCACCACTTCTGAACACCTGTCACTGGTGGTTCTTATACGGCCCTCTAATGAACATGCTCGCTGAGTATGCAATCTACACCAGAGCAGACGATGGCCTCAGAGGAGACCCTCCCCCTGTGGGGGCTGCACTTGTCGCCTTCTTCCCAGAGTTTGTAAAGGCCCTGTCAGCAGATAACAGACGTTTATTTTGCTCGGGGCTCTTATCTGCTGTGGTGAAACAAGAGTTTTCACAAGTTCCTCTGGTCTTCATATCCCAGATGTTAGCGAGTCTGCCGTCTTGCCCTGTCTGGGATTCTAATGCATTGGCAAGCATTCGTGACATTTTTCCCCTCTTTAGACCGTTCAGCCCACACCTGACAAGTGCTATTCAGAGCTTTCTCCTCAAGGCAGTTATAAATCTATGTGCCCCCAGGCGTGTGTCGTGGAAAGACATTGGAGATTTTCTTTCTCTTTTCACAAAGGATGATTGTTTATGCCGAGGAAATACCTTGTGGGAAGCAGCAGTTCACTGGGTGTGGGAGATCCGTGACTTGATTGGTCAAGAACATTTCAGCCAAACCAATTGCAGTCAAGATAAAAAGGGATTTTCAGGCCTGTTCGATCACCTCAGGGAAGGTGTGGAGGTTCTTCTTAACGACGAGAAACTAGAGTTATCAACCAGTGATCCCGAAATGCAGTCTGTTATAAGGTTAATGATAATTGCATGCGATGCTCATCTTAAGTTCTCAGAGAATTCAACCAATCGAAAGCAACCAGTGGATGAAATATTCCAGAATATTGTGGAGGTCCTTCAGCATGCAAGCCGACATGTTTATGCATCGGAGGGTAGGACTCAAAGAGCAGCCATGATGCTGTCAGGAATCTTAGAGCACATGAATAGCACAGCAGTCAGCAAAAACACAGATGGAAAAACAGATGACATCGCTGTGAAGGAAGTCGATGGCAGCAGGGAGATCATTGAAAACGTGTTTGGACGCAGTGGCGTAGACATCTTCGAGCTGTTGTTGAGGAAACTCACCACCGTGTCCGTGAATTTCTCCCAAGTAGATAGCAACTCTGCGTTTCTTGATCTCGCTGATCAGCTGTTGATGTTCACAAAAGTCTCTGGGAACTCTAGTCAGAGTTTGGAAGTGTGGCACCAATTTGTTGAAACCCTTACACAGCGAAGCCGGAGAGTTGTGTTAGGGAAACAATCAGACAGAGAACAGCTAGCACTGAGTGATTGGCGTGCATTTGTTTTGTCCATGAAATGCTTAGCGTGGTGCTGTGCAGCTTTGAGAACCAAACCTGACCTGTATACCACTCGTTTAGCATCCACCTTGTTGCAGACGGTGACAGAGCTTGATCTGAGCTCCGAGTTTCCAACACCCAAGTTTCTTTACCCGGTCGATGTTGGTAGCGAGTCTTCAACCGAATCAAGAGTATTCCTCAAGAAAGGTTGGGGGAGACTGGTCTCTGACTTTATCGAAGCTCAGTGGCAGTGTGTTCAATTTCTGCTCGAGGAATCCCAGGGATCTTCCGATGGAAGGGACATGGAACTTGGGAGCAAATTGGAGCGCTTTTTGGCGGATCTGCCTGAGGCTGCCTTAGAGGCCCTTTCTTTGGGCTCAGGTCTCGCGGTGCTTCCCGTCATAAGATGCGTGCGCTTGTTGACTCCTCGAATGCTTCTAGCAAACGACTCGCTGTGTTCACAGGCTCTGGAGGCAGTTTGGTGGACTTTTCAGGATCGGCAAAAAGGCGATCAGATCTGGTTTTGGAGAACGTTGCGGGAAGTTTCACAGGTGTTTTTTAACCCCTGTCTCCTGATACTGGCCGAGGACCACCCAGTGACTGCATTCGTGCGAAGGTACTGGGGAGAATTGTCGGCTCTGGGAGAAGGTCGTCCGGGTATTATGAATCATGTGATCGGGCCGTGCTGTGAATTCTGGGCTGGCTCTCCTTGTGATCGTATCCTTGGGAACCTAGTTTATCAAATCAGTGACGAAAATCGCAGTCAAAGCTTAGATGTTCACCTGGATTTTATTACTGAAGCTTGTTTTTTCGGTCCCAGGGAAAAGAAAACGGCGCGAGGTACAAATTACGTGCTGGAATACGTTCGTCGGTTGGGCAAGGAAGGGGTGATTTGTTCCTTCAAGTCGGACGAGTTGCGCGATGACACGCGAGTGCGAGTGAACGCGATTAACGTGTTAATGACTTTAAATCCGATGGACACTCAGGATGCGAAGCTTCTACAACGTCTCGCCGAATCTTTGATCAGTAAGAACGGCGAGCTGTCGGAAGATAAACCCCGTTCCTCTATTAACTCGTACTCACATAGGAGAAAGCACCGAGTGTGGCAGGCTGTTCTCGTGGTGCTCTCTCGCTTTTTTGATGCCGACGTCGTTGATGAGATGTTTGCCAGTCGAGTGTTGGAAGGGATTTTCCGCGCCATTCTTTCCGAGAACCAAATGTCGGTCCGGAACTTTCTTCAATGGGGAGTGGTTCTGATCCTAGGAAGGTAAGTTCGTTAGGAAGTGCTCTAACGCAGGAAATAAGGCACATCTTTTCTCACCGAAAAAAAAAACGTGGTCGTTTCAGGCATGTTCTTCGGTGATCTCCATTCTCAGAGCCAAACCAGCTGTTAATGGAGGCACCCTCCCTCCCCTCTATCCCCAAAGTTTCCGGTGGCCTAAGCTTCAGAGCGCTGAACATACATCGGCGCAGATCAGAAGGCCTTTGCTCAACACGAATCTAGGATCAATTTCACTATGTTGTGTCTTTGGAGGAAAAAGTTTAATTTCTACATCAAAAAAACCTATATCAGGGAAACCAATAATTCAAATGTTTTATAGCATGGTAAAAATTCCAGGTAAAAGTTACAAGAGGCGGACTAGTAGGCCTATTAAAACCGTGTACCGGGATTCGTACCCGGGAGCTTCAGATCGCGAGTCCAGGGTGTTACCCTGACCGTAGGGTGATCTGCGTTGGGGAGTATCCCACCTATTAGTATTAACTTCACTCTAAGTTGTTTTGTGGTATAGACACCGGGATCCCCACTGGTAGCTTTGTGGATCAGTCTCGTATGCTCTCTGTATTCTGAGAGGAAAGACTTGGAAGTGTGATTCCCTGATGGCTTACCTTTGAAAAGGAGCACCATGGTCGCCAAGCAAATAAGAACTAACGGTAGAAATAATGTGTCTTGTTTCATCAGGTACCCAAGCCTCGAGCCTTTTTTATGGGCACAACTGAAGTATGATGTTGAGAGAAAAGCTGGTAGTGTGTCGTCACTTCTTGCCGTTGTCGCGCTCGTTGGCGAGTTTTCATTTTCAGATTCCCGCTCCCAGGCGGCTTATTTCCAGCAGGCTTTTCCCACTATACTCCCTTGGGCGTTAACATCACATGTTATGGTATGATATATCTGTGTTATTGTTTCTTAAATCATGTTTGAAAAGTAAAGCGCCGGACATTATCCACCGTTGTTCGGCACTAGCGGCGAAGTATTAATAGATTACCATGTTATTTTCTTCTCGTTACTAGCCTGCTTTTAGGCCAGCGGTCGATTTTTAGCCCTAAATCAGAGAAAAATGATGATTTGACAATAACAGCGTCTATCATCTTCGTTTTTACTTAGGTAATATGAACTCCTGGGCGAAAAAGTATTAAGTCCCCTCTTCCGATGAAGAGTTTTAAGGTTGTCAGCTGATAGGGCGCAACGGGTAAAGACTTTGGATGAAACTGTCGAGTCGGTTATTGACCAACCTGTTCATTCGCCCAGAAACGTAGCTGTAGCCATCGTTCGTTGTTCGTCTTATCTGAAGAATTCGCATACGCGGTCTGCGGTGTTCAGGGAACACTAGCTACCAAACAATAAAGAGTTAAGAAGGCAAGTTATGAAATTTGCACTTTGATCAGAACATCACCAATTGCAATTCTGTCAAATCGTAAGTTAAGAATAGGAAAGAAAAAAACAGCTGGAGAAATACCTGTGGTTTTCCATAAAAGGTTTGACGCTGGTCATCCGCCAAGTAGAGGCAGGTGAGTAATCTATTGGTGTTTGTCTCTCTCAGGTCCAGGCCTATGCCCAGGTGACGTTACAGAAGATGTGGCTTACGTGCCAGCGAGAGAATCTGCATGACTTGACGTCCAACCACGCCATCATTCAGTCTTGTGTGCACTTCTTGGAGACGAATAATGAAAGCGTACGTCAGAAAGTTCGCTTGCTGGGAGACTTTTTCTTCCTTGATTTGCATCCCCACCGAGACTTTTCTATGCAGACTCTGTTCGAGACCCTTCCTCGTTTAACAGAGGTTACTGATGAAGAATGGATTTCTCCCAAAGTGTTCACTGAGGGATGGTTAGGCATGCGCGTTTGGGGTTCTCGTAAGCATGGCCTTGGTGTACTGCCGCTGTACAATCCTGATGATACACATCTGGCTCAGATTTCTCATGGTCCATATTTTAACTACGGTGAAAACGTGGGGGAACAAATTCGTCGACGATTAGCGGGTGAGAGAACGAACAGTAAAAACACTGCGCAAATAAACGATTCAGCGAGGACTTCTGAAGTACAGAGCGGTGATGTCCAGAAAAAAATCGTCCCTTGGAAAGTGATTCCTCCCGACGCAGATATTATATCAGAAATGCAACGGCAGCGATTGGCGAACCTTGAGAAGAGCTCAGCTGGAAGTTTGATAGTGGTTGCTTCACTAATCGACAAGGCTCCAAATCTGGGCGGCCTTTGCCGTACTTGTGAAATATTTGGCGTCCAGACCTTGGTGCTTAGTAACTCTCATGTACTCGAAGACATCCAATTCAAATCTCTAAGCGTTACCGCTGCCAAATGGATGAACATCGATGAGGCTCGCGAGTCGGAGCTCAAGTCCTACCTGGCGCGCATGCGTCATGAAGGCTACACGCTAATCGGCGCTGAGCAAACAGCAAATAGCGTGAACTTAACTCATTACCAGTTCCCACACAAGTCGCTATTGTTGCTTGGCAACGAGAAACAGGGCATACCCGTAGAACTGATTCAGATGCTTGATGTGTGCGTAGAGATTCCACAGGTTGGCATCATAAGGTCCCTCAACGTGCATGTTAGTGGGGCTCTACTCGTGTGGGAGTACACACGGCAGAGGGTCTTGGGCGTTGCCTCATGACTTCAAAGGTTCTTAGGTCTTGCCTCATGATCACGAGGCAAAGGGTCTTAGGTCTTGCCTCATTACTTTAAATGTAGGGCCACATGGCGTCTTAGGTCTTGCCTCATGACTTCAAATGTTGGCGCACAAAAATTAGAACAGCCTTTCGAAAAGGAGGACAGAAACCGCGACTAGAACTTCGCTGAGGAAAACTACAATGCGAAATAACCAAATGATGATATTTGGAGAACGCACAGTACCATGAGAAATTTCTTTTTCTTTTTGAATTGAACGGTTAACTAAGACAGCCCTAGCCTCGATAGAAACTACATTATGAAAATAGATCAAATAGGAACATTGTAGACTAATATAATTACAAGACTCCAGATAGGTTCATTTTTTCAATATATACAGTCAACAGTGCATGAGCTCTAGTACAGTCCAATACGCCGCTTATATAGTTTCAGTCACTCTTCGCAGAGACTGGAGAGGTTTGGTTTTATTTGATGTTTATGAGATGATTGTTGCGATAAAAAATGGATCGTTGTCATGTTTAAATAAAAAATAACATAATAACAGCCGTTATCGTAATTATTATTGACTTTTTTCAAGTTCCTAATCCCTCCATCGGTCAGCC